CTCTCTGCGCCTCCCCCACTTATGTTCTCTCTCTCAAAAATAAAGAAACATTAAAAAAATCTTTAGGGGTGCCTGGGTGGCTCAGTCTGTTAAGCATCTGACTCTTGATTTCAGCTCAGGTCATGATCTTGCAGTTTGTGGGTTCAAGCCCTGCATTAGGCTTTGTGCTGATGGTGCAGAACCTGCTTGGGATTCCCTCTCTCTCTGTTCTCTCTCTCTCTCAAAATAAATAAACTTAAAATAAATAGAAAATTCTTTAAAAGGTAGATAGTAATATACCAGGTGAAGAAGGGCAGGACAAATGTTTAAAGGGAAGAACGGTGTGTACAAAGGCACAGAAGAGAGTATAGTATATTTAGGGAACTGCAAGTACATCGATATTGCTTGAGAATTGGCTAAGGTTTAATGGGAAGTGCCAAGCAAACATGCCAAGTAAGTCATCATAACTTGAGATCATGAAGGACCTTATGAGACACACTAAGACGTTTAGGCTCCCCTGGAGGCAGTGAGGAGTCATAAAAGGATTTTACATAGACAACGGATACAACGAGATTTGGGCTGTAGAATGATTGTATTTAGTGACCTCGTTGGAGATGTATAGAGGATAGGGAATTCTGTTGGGAGGTTTTTCAAGTACTCTAGAACAGGTACGATGAGGGCCTAAACCAAAGACATGGTTGGAGAGGAAGATTTTTGAGAAGTTTGACAGGGCTTGGTAATTGGTAGATAAGGGAGAAAGAAGAGTAAAGAATGACCCTCAGATTTTGGCATGGTTATCTTTGGTTGACAGACCAACACCTAGATCATGGGTATAAGGAGGCTGAACTGTTAATCAAGTATAAGTATAAAACAAGTAAAACACAAACTATGGCAAAATCAATTTAAACATTAGAAACAAGAAATGTCGGTAGCTGTCATTAATCCCTAAAGCTAGGTCCTGAGATTTTCTAATTGCCCTCCTTCTACTTTGTTGGAGATTTCAAGGTTCTCATTATTCTGGATGGAATTAGAGATAGTGTTAGATAGGTAGACTTAGACATTGAAGGGAAAACTAGCTTCTTTAAATCATTCATTGTAAAGAGAGGCTAAGCTGTAATTTTATTTATTTTTTGTTACAGGTGATGAAGATGGTAATGACCTTAACAGCAGCAGAGTCTGGTTGTATCCATTATGTCAAACGGCCTGGAGCAGCTCTTGACCCTGGCTGTGTGATAGCCAAAATGCAGTTAGACAACCCCAGCAAGGTCCAACAGGTAAGTAGGAGGGTACTTTTAATATTGCTCTCTAAGAGTTGATTACATGGTAGGGGTAGTTTGGAGGGGCAGATGATTTCAATGCGTAGTTTGCTAGTTTTTTCTTATGCTTTCCCCCCCCCCCCCCCCCCGATCTCATGCCTTGTGTTTGTGCCTATAGCATTATGGAACTAGATTTTGCAGAAATTACTATGATACTAAGATTCTATGATTTCCTCTGATGATTCCTCCATTGATTTCTCTCCTTGTAGCTGGGTATGGTAAAGAGATGTCTTGGTTTTGAATGATGACTCTAAGTTGCAGTGTGTGTGTAACCTGACTAAAAGGTAGTGGGTGACTTGATCTCTCATTGGGGTTGACAGGCTGAGCTTCACACGGGTAGTCTGCCACGGATCCAGAGCACAGCACTGAGAGGCGAGAAGCTCCATCGAGTGTTCCATTATGTCCTGGATAATCTGGTCAACGTAATGAATGGATACTGCCTTCCAGATCCTTTTTTTAGTAGCAGGGTATGAATCACTTCTCTTGGGGAAAGGGTGTACAAATAGGGTACTGTTCTCCAAGATAGTTTAAAAATCACACAAGGATTTTTTTAGAGGGAGGAAAAGAAAGCTGTTTGGCCTGAAACTCTCTCACCTTTAGTTGTGGGATGTGGAGTCTTTAAATCCTTTCTGCTTATCTGTGTCATTGACTTCACATTTAATTGGGATTTAAACCAGAGAATGAGGGCAGAGTTAGATGCCTATATTATAGTTTCATAGTAAATACTGCATGATACTGAATCCAGATATATCACTTTATTTTGGAGATGGTTTTAATTTTGTGTGGATCTTATTTCCTTCTCAGGTAAAAGACTGGGTAGAGCGGTTGATGAAGACCCTCAGAGATCCCTCCTTGCCTCTCCTAGAATTGCAAGATATCATGACCAGTGTCTCTGGCCGTATTCCCCCGAATGTGGAGAAGTCTATCAAGAAGGAAATGGCTCAGTATGCCAGCAACATCACATCAGTCCTCTGTCAGTTTCCCAGCCAGCAGGTATTTATAGAGTTACATTTCTCTACTAGCTACCAGTTCTGGAGTTCATGTTGTGGGATTCCTTCCTGCTTGGATCCTCTGTCTGGATGTTGTGCTTTTGCAGTCTTAAGTATTGTGCCCTTCACAAATGTGTCTCAGGATATAAGCCCAATAAAATACTATATGTGAAGTGTAAAAGTATTTGTGATTATAAGAAAAAATCTTTTACTTAATAGAGGTTTATTCTTGGGCCTATGCCCTAATTAGAGGAATTTTGTGAATTTAAAGTGGAGGGATATTTGTAGTTTTATTAGCAGCAACTTCTTACTACCCCAGCAGCATGCTTATTTTTTGCCTGTGAAGCTAATTTACATGCAGAGAGTTAAGGTAGGCAAGTGAGGAATAAAGTTTGAACCTTGACTGTAAACATATCTTGCCTGTCAAGGGCCTCTGGTAGGATGGTAGCTTTTGTGTTACACTCATTAGTTCATCTAGGAAAGTGTGAAAAGAAATAAAAGTTGCTTGCTTATTTAACACAAGCCTCTAAACTATGCCCAGTAACTTCTAGCTGCTCCCAGCACGTGAAAGATGGAAATTTTTGTGTTATAATTAAGATTACTGGTATACAGTATGTAATGCTACACAGGCTAATGCTTTAGGTCTCTTTGTTGGGTTTGGCTTCATTTTTTTCCCTCTTTCTTCTTTAGATTGCCAACATCCTAGATAGCCATGCAGCTACATTGAACCGGAAATCTGAACGGGAAGTTTTCTTCATGAACACTCAGAGCATTGTCCAGCTGGTACAGAGGTAAAGTTAATGTGATTCCCAGGATACACAGGATTCCCAGACCTGTTCATACCCATACTTTCCTTTATTCTAAGTACGCACCAAGAGATTTATCTCAGGTTTGACTTATTAGAAAGCACTTGTGTCTTGGGAAATATAGGTATTTTCTAAATACCTTAGATATCTAAATATCTTAGGACTGTGAGCTAAAATATTTCTGATGACTTTTGTGTTCTCCATCTTTCTGTGAATTATTAAAGCATAGAAATTTCATTGCTTTTTTTTCCTGGTAATTTTGATGAAACTCTTAATTTTTCTTCTGGCACAAGGCCAAGTAAGACATTTATTCTTCTTAGCTTCCATAGCCAACTATTGGACTGAAGGAACATTCACAGAACATTTTCAACTCTAAGATGCTCATAAATTTTTCAGATATCCCTGAGCCATTTCAGGAGTATAATGATCATTTCTACGTAGCAGTGGGAACTGAACCAGGGTGTTGTTCAGTAGGGCTGTCAAGTGGTTTTTGGTTTTGTTTTGTTCTCCTTTTTTTCTTTCCTTTTATATAAAACAAAAAACCCCACAAAAACTCTTGTCTATAGGTAGATTTCTGAGGCTTAGAATTTAAGCTCTGGGCTTATTTAAATAGTCTGTTATTCTAATAGTATTAGCCTGTCAGGTTTTTCAGTGGACATTTTTTCTGCTTGCCTAGGTACCGAAGTGGCATCCGAGGCCACATGAAGGCTGTTGTGATGGATCTGCTACGGCAGTACCTGCGAGTAGAGACACAGTTCCAGAATGGTAAACCTCTTCCTGAGAACTCTGTTTCTGAGAAAGCTTCCTTGTAGGACTGTGCAGCAGCAGAGCCAGTTCATCCTGTCACTAACACCTACCATTAACAAACTCTTGCCCTGTCACCACTTTCTTAAAAACTAAACCTCCCTGTCCCACTAGTGCCAAAGAAAGAACAACAAAGACAGCTTGATGAGATTGTGAATCTGGTGTGCCTTCTGGGAAAGGGCTGAGATAATTTTTCTAGTAGAGATTAGTATTCCCTGTTGATGTCTTCTTGACCTTGTTTAGTGAGAGTTGGTTGAGTCATGACCAGGCTGAAATTGAAAAACTGTATCTGAAGAGCTTGCCTCTTGGCAGCTAATCCACGGATTGAACCGCAGACATGTGAAAAAGGCTCAGATTTTCCAGTACTATTCAGTGTATCATTTAGGTGGAATTTATCCCTGGCTTTCTCTGAAGAGCTTCATTAAATGATGTATGAAGTCTCTAAATGTGAAATACCTCTAGGTAGGATTTTAAAAGCTACATACTGCTGATATTGCTCCCTGCCACAAGGTGGCAGTGAAACATCATAATTAGAAATATTACTTAACATCTTACGTATTTTGCTTCCTTTTGCATCTTTTAAAGGACGGCTGTGCCACTCATAACCAGCAAAAATCCTCAAGTAAATATTAGCAAACCAAATCCATCAGTGTATATACAAAATAACACATTACAACCAAATTGTCTTTATCCTACTAATGCAAGCTTGATTAATATTGGAAAAACCAACTAATGTGATTTATTATCTAAGGGATTCAAAGAGGAAAAAACATGGTCACCTAAAGATATGGGGGAAAAATATTTGACAAAATTTAATATTCATTCATGAGAAACTCTTGGCAAATGAAGAATAAGATGGAACTTCTTTAAACATATAAAGTTTCCCCACCAAAAAATCTGTAGGGTACCTCATGCATAATAGTAAAATTGAAAGCATTGTCGAGAGCATTCTCTTTAAGACAGGAATAAGACGAGGGCACCTGCTCTCACTGCTTCTATTCAGCATTATACTGGATGTCATAGCCAGTGCAATAAGATAAAAAGAATTAAAAGGTGTGAGGACTGGAAAGGAGTAAGGAAATAAATCTGCCACTGTTATATGTATGATATCTACCTGGAAAAGCTCAAAGAATCCACATATTTATTGTTGGAATTAAAGTCTAAAAAGGTTGTTGAATACAAAATTCAAATGTATATTGAATTTTGTGTGTCTTTATAGTACAATTGTTTAGAAAAGCAGTTTAGAAAAATATGGCATTTAAAATAGCAACCCAAAATATGGAACACTAAAGAATAAGTCTAATAAAAAATGTACAAGCCTTTTTTGAAGAAAATTATGAGTGAACAGTAATGAAGATCTAAATAAGTATCATGGTCTTAGATTGGAGTGTACACCTGCAAAGTATTGATTCTCCTGGAATTCATCTGCAGATTCACTGATGTTCAGTAAAAATCCTAGTAGGGTATCTTCATGGAATTTTTCAAGCTAATTCTAAAATTTATATGAAAGGAAAGTCTGAAAATAACCAGGATACTTCTTTTTTTAAAAATTTTATTTATTTTTAAATATTTATTCACTTTTGAGAGACAGAAACAGAACATGAGCAGGGGAGAGGCAGAGAGGGAGGGGGACACATAATCCGAAGCAGGCTCCAGGCTCTGAGCTGTCAGCACAGAGCCGATGCAGGGCTTGAACTCACAAACTGTGAGATCATGACCTGAGCGGAAGTCAGACGCTCAACCGACTGAGCCACCCAGGCGCCCCTAACCAGGATACTTCTAAAGAAATACAAGGTGGAGGGATTTTCCAGTGAAATATCAAGGTTTAATCTAAAGCCTTATTAATGAAGAGATTGTGATATTGGTATAGGGAAAAGTTAATAGACCAATGGAACATAGTAGCCCAGAAACAGATCCATCCACATATATATGAAAGTTTACATTATAACAGAACAGGCATTTAGATCATGAGGAAAGGATAGACTTCTTTCTCATTAAATGATACTACTACAATGGCTTATTTATTTCCAAAACCAAAAAAAGAAATTGGATCTCTATCTTAAACTATATGCACAGAAGTCAATTCCAGATGAATTAAAGACTTAAACATGTTCTAAAGAGGCAAAACTACTAAATTTTTAAGAGAATAGCCATATGACCTCAGGGTAGGGAAGGATTTGTCATGGAAGACACACATCTAGTGTAAACCACATGTCTAGTGTAAACTAGAAAGGAAAAGGCTGATGAAAAGATGCCATAAAGAGACTGAAAACATAAGCCACAAAGTGGGAGAAGGTACTTATAAAACCTACACCTATAATGAAAGGGGTTAGTAAATAAGTAAAAAGACAACTTCTTTGAAAAATAGGCAAAAGAAAAAAAAATAGGCAAAAGATATAAAAGGATAATTCATAAAAGGAAGGATACAAACAATCCACAAATTGAAAAGATGTGCAATCTCATTGCTAATTAGAGAAAGCCAAAAACACAATAAGATTGGCAAAAATTAAAAAATCATCTTTCACTACTTCTGTAAGTAACAGTGCAAATTTCCAAAGTGTAAACCACTTTGGAAAAGTTTGTCAGAACTTAATAGAGTTGAATGTTTTATGTATTCTTCAACCTCACAATTTTACTCTTAGATAATAAACTTTAGAGAAACTCTTACACATGTTTGTAAGGAGACATATGGGACTATTTATTGGCAGCATTGTTCATAGCAGCAAAATAGGAAACCATTAGAATTACATAAGTAGAATAAATAATTGAATTCTGGTATATTCCTACAATGGATTATTATACAGCAATGAAAGTTGAGGAACCAAGTTATACATATGAACAGAAGGCTGTGTTTCACAAACAATGTTGAGACGTAAATGGAATAAATGTAAAGAAAAGCAAAAGAGTGAGTAACATAAAATTCAGCTTAGTAGGTATTTCTGAGGGGGAGCACATAGGATCCTTCAAAGATAATTAAAAATGTTCTAAGATAGATGGTAGTTATATGGGTATTTATTCTGCTGTATGTATATCTCACAACAAAAGGTTTTTAAAAATGTGGTGTCATTACTTTCTTTCTGCTTAGTGTCTCTGCTGTCTTTTCCCTGGGTAAATATTCTTTTTATCTGTCCTTGTTCTAGTAATTCCCTTTACCAAGATATATTTCTGTTGTGCCTTCAAAGTTAAGTGTTGGTTGGGAAAAGTATGAATTTATATAGGACAACTAATTCTATTTTGTTCTAAATAGGTCTTATATGAAATTGTCAATTCTTAATTCAAATATATCTGAATTAAGTTCTTTATTCAGATATATTTAGTTTCATATTGACAAAAATTCATATTTATCTTTAATATTTAAAACAGAACCGAGTTACCCTGGTTGAATGTACTCAGTATTCTAGGAATCCATAGTAATGCAGTCAAACTGTTCTGGTTTGTAACTTAAAATGGAATCTGAATTGAGATGATAATCCTTTAGTATTTTCATAATTTCATAAAATTCTGACCTTGATTGAGACTATTCAAACACTAATTCTCCTTTGCTTGGAAATTCAATTCTGGAGTAAGCTGTTTTCTGAAAAAAGTGAATATTACTTCTATGCTGTGGTAGATATCACTACAGTAAACCTGATCCTTATGTTTCTGTGGCAAAACATAGCTTTCCTAGCCAGAACTAACCTACCCCTGATGGCCTTATGAAGGGCCAATGAAGATGTACATAATTGTATTCTCCCTGCAGACCTTTTGACTTAATGCAAGGTTCTCCTTGATCTATGCCTTAGTTTGGATTTGGAATGGCTAGGTGTTGTTTAGCTGTTTCATGGATTCACAGAGCAAAATGTTGATTTCAGAGGGAACAACCATCCCCCTTACAGATATTGATAAGTTTGTGTTGCTTTATTTTTGAGCTAAAACTGTTCCATATAGTTAGGGGCACGTGGGTGGCTCAGTCAGTTAAGCATCCAACTCTTGATTTCAGCTCAGGTCATGATCTCACGGTTTGAGATTGAGCCCCCCCCCCCCCCCCCCCCCCCCCCAGTTGGGCTCTGCGTTGGACATGGAGTCTGCTTGGGAGTCTCACCCTCGTTCTGCCCCCTCTTCAAAAACAAAAACAAAAACCTGTTCCTTATAGTTAGGGTGAAACATTTTCAGTGAGTCAGACATGAAGCCAGAATCTCAAGCTGGGGCAGACTTTAAAGATCATCAAATTTAATGGTATTGACATTTCTTTTTAAGCAACAGAATCCTCTCTTCTAAGGAAATCATTTCAGGAAACTAAATGAGAGTTTAGAGTAAGGGTGAGGATTGGAATTACCACCAACAGCTCAGTCTCTAAGACAAACCTTCCCTCTACCTTTTTTGGGGGGGTGGGGGATGCAAATGATGCTCAGAGAGGGAAAGCGATTTGCCAAGAAGCACATAGGAAATTGGTAATACAGCTAGGCTTTGAGCCCAGATCTTGCACTAGATAGCCTGACTCCTACCGGCATTTCTTTTACTAAACCTCATTACCAATTCTGTACAAATCCATCCAAGAAAATTCTTTTTTTTTTTTAATTTTTAAATTTTTATTTATTTTGAGAGAGAATTCCCAAGCAGGCCCTGCACCACCAGTGCAAAGCTTGACACAGGGCTCCATTGCACGACCACAAGATCGTGACCTGAGCCCAAATCAAGAGTCGAACGCTTAACTGACAAAGCCACCCAGGTGCCCCTTTCCAAGAAAATTCTTACAATGTTTCACTGCTTATCAGGTGAATTATAGACATTAAACAAACAAACAAATGGCATGTAAATGTGAACACTCAACCATAGATGAGGACCAGTTCTTTTTGCTGCTTGCAGGTCACTATGACAAATGTGTGTTTGCCCTTCGAGAAGAGAACAAGAGTGACATGAACACTGTGCTAAACTATATCTTCTCTCATGCTCAAGTCACCAAGAAGAATCTTCTGGTCACAATGCTTATTGTGAGTACCATTTTTCAGAACCTGTAAGGATGGTTGATGTTGAGAAAACATTTCTCCTTCTGAGGTTCTGTGGTCAGAGGAAAAGCTTCTTGTCTCCTGTAATTTTGGCATGAATGGCGCTTGAGTTGTAGATGAATGGTTTCTCACCTTTACCTCTGTCCTTGACCTGAAGGAACCTACTCCTGTCAGGAAAGGATTGTTCTGGCTATTATGCATGCAATCATGCACAGGAACTCAAATCTCTTGATTCTGCTGAGAGATGCCTTGTGCTTCCTGGTGTCACTCATGACAGTAGCTTTAAAACTGAGTCTTATTTAGCCAGTATACTTTTTCTTCAGAACTCTTGTTTTTTCCATGAATGTCAGCAGTGGCTATTACGTCCCAAAATGTAAGAATGAAAAACAGTGTTAGAAATCCAGTACTGCCCCTCACACCAAAGAAATTTAAATTTATTCTGCATCTTCTTTGGTCCCTTTCTGTTTTACTTACATAGAACTCCAAGCTCAGATTCTTGTAATGGTAGTGGATGCATGCTTTTGTCCCTATAACCTCGTACTATGAGAGCTAGTAGAAAGTGGGAGTGAAAGGTGAGAATGTGAATAGAATTAATGTACATTTGACCAGTGGGTAGAATTTTTGTGAACTTAAGGATTTTTAAACACAGTATGTAAGTCCTTCATTCCTAGATTCTTCTGATTGAGTTAGTTCTTAAAATCAGAGTTTCATAGGACTATTGTTAGAGTCCCCAACCCATGAACAGCTGCCTTATGGCTGCCTTTTTTGCCTTTTTGGGGGACCAAAGTACCATTTTACTCCTAGAGTTTCCTCTCTTGTCCCTTTGTGGAATTGACATTTTTGGTACCTTAATTCCATTCTTTCTTCTTGGAGGGGTAAAAAGAAAAACTATAAATTGCCACTGCTGTTTTTTTATTCCATAGTTTAGAATAAAGGGAAACTACCTACCTCACATTTGTGTTTAACAACAGTGCCACAACTTCATGTCTGCCTAGCTGGTTAACTCTCAAGGATATAACATTTTTTTTTAGAATAGCTACCTTTAAAAACATAATCACAAGGAGAGTTCATTACCTTTGCTACCATAGAATGGCTAGATGGTGGGGAAATCAGAAGATGCATTTGAAAGAAAAAAATATATATCAGCAGTATAAAATATTTCAACTTCCCCAAGTGACAGGTTTCAGCAAAGAAGTGCTATTATCTATGGTAATTTGATGATTTTTTTTCAATCAAAAGAAGGAAGATATCTGTGACTAGTTAGATTTTTTTTTAATTTTAACATAAGGATTGCTAATTCTCATTTGGATAAAACAAGACTTTGCAGCAGAAAAGGGTAATGAGGAGGGAGTGGAAGAATCTCTCAGTTTGGACCTAAAATGGGGTGTATTTGCCTTTTTAGGGAGCTAATGATGGTGAGTTTTCATTTTATTATGATTACCTTTTTAAGGACTTAACAGTTTTCTGCACTAAAAATAGACCAAAGCCCAGAATCCTTGGAGCAGCAGAAGAGTAATGATCGTCCAAGACTGTCGCTGGGTTTCTTAAATTCTAATTTGTAAGATATAGGGGCTCGGCTCGCTCCTTTTGCGGAGTGATTGTAAGTAACGCTTGCCTTAAGAATCTCATTATTGGAACACGGAGCCATATTTCCTCTGAGAATTCTGGAGTAGCTTTGAGCCGGGGCTGTTCATTTCTCAAGTAATCACGCTGGTGTGATGGAGAGAGAAAATGGCAGCTGTTCGGAGCTCAGGCCTTCAATTTTCTTCAGAGTCCAGTCACTCAAGTGTGTAATTACACGGGGGGTGCTGCAGAGGCGTTGGGGCCTGTCAGAGAACTGGTTTGAGGCTTTGCTTTCTGCTTTTGCCAGTCAGGACAGGCAGAAGCCAATGGGACTCTGACTTGCTGCTGTTCTTTTTTCCCCACCTTGTCATCCTGATTACTTCTTACCTGCATGGATAGTGCCCAAACTTTCTTTCCAACAGGCTGAGCTCTTTGGAGAAAAGAGCTGTAATAAGTGTTTGGGTTTGGATGCATAGGACGGTGAGCAGAGGAAGAGTTGGGGGGGGGGGGGGGGGGGGGAGGAGGAGGAGGGGGAGAAGAAGAAAGGTTGAAGATGTGAACCAGAAAGATGGATTTGTCCTTTCCTTATTTTGGCATTTCACATTTTTCTTTAAAAAAACAAACCAAAACTCAGTAAATATAGTAGGATCTATAGGCTTTCATATCATTGAGTTTCTTTTGAAATATCAGCTGCTTTCACCTCATCTTAGAGACTTGGAAATCAAGAAGTTAATTGATTTCTCAGCTTGAGCTGAGAGCCAGGTAGCCGTGTCATGTGCAGCCGGAATGAAGGCTTGAGAGGTGCTCCTTTCCAATGTGATATTGCTGGATATCAGGTGTGGGTTTCCTCATTCTTTCTTTGGTAATGGCAGGGTCTCACTGCCATCACCCCATCCTACATCTGCATGAATGTTGGTAGCTGATAAAAGCTATCTTACTGGTTTGGATCACTCTTTCCTTAGGTCTCACTGTCTTTTACAGATACAGATACCACCTGGACATGGTAGCATTGGAATTCCACAGCTTGTGTTCTCTGCCACTTCCCCTTTCTTTGCTTACCTTGGCTTCCTGATTGATGGTTATGTGCCCGGCATTTCAATCTTTTGCTTTCTAGAAGCAGGAATGTTGATGGTGTGCTTTGCTGAGCTAGATGATGATTTCTGGGGCTTTTGAACCTAGAGGGAGGGATCAAGACAATCAGGCTTCTGTGAATCAGTGTTATGAAATGTGGGCTGCTTCAAGGAACCCCTCATCCCCTCCAGGTATTAGCATAGCTTGCCTAGTAGTAGCTTGCCTCAGGCAACTTGCCTCTTGAGCAAATTTGTTCTAATCTTTTACCCTATCTGGAAAGCAGAATATCAAGTAAAATGCATAAGTCCATTTGGAGGAACACGGTGCCTCGATTAAAACCAAAGTCTAGAAGACCAAAGGTATTTTTTGAAAACTCTTTTTACTTCTCAAATTCAATTTCATAGGAAAAAGCTTGGAAATACTATTTATGTTTACTTAGAGATAGTTAAAGAGACTCTAGCCAAATTAGGCAATTTGGCGCCAATAAAAATAATCAACATTCTTATAGCTGTCCAGATAACAAAGTACACGTTCCATAGCCATCTTGATGCTGAGTAGTCCTCCCCTCACTACTTATATGTTATTTCTGGTATGGTCCACATGAATATAATGTAAACCATGCTTCCTAATGAGTAGTGCTATGCCTGTGAACCTTGATTTGGTTTTAACTGGGAGCCTTTTCTTCTTCTTCTTCTTCTTAACATAACTGCAAATAATTTTATCCTATGTGTCTTAGGCCTAGTTTACTGAATACAGGTGATATTAACAATTTCTTGTTAAACCTGTCCTATGACATCCTTGGAATTACAAAAAGTCCAGCTGTGACTGGAAGAAGCTACCAGTCCATTGCTGATTTTGGGATTAGTGCCTCACCTACCTGAACAATTGTTAATGTCTTGAGAGCATTACACATTCGGTCACATTCCATTCTGAATTGTCTTCAAATCATAGGTTGCTAAGATCAAGTTGGATTATTTTGGGCTCTTCTGGCAGTCAGCTGCATAACTTTGGTTATGGTTTTGACACTTAAGCACATTTGTTATATTTCTGTACATCAGAAATATTCCCTGCAGTTAGCCACCATCCAGGTTAAGAATAAATACAAGAAATAAATGTGTGATACCAATCTTAACCATTACTGAATAATTATTTTCACTTTGGCCTGCAGATTTATGCAAGTAACCTGTAATCCCAGACTCGGCAGGTAGGCTCATTAAAAAAACCTCTTTATATTGAGGAAACACATCTGCTGACTGAGTCACCATTTAGTGTCATTGTTATAAAATGTTCACCAGAATTAGATGGTGATGTTGGGCCTCCCAAAGGAAGCCTGCTTCTAGTCTAGAGGGCCATAAACTTCCTTTTGGATGTTTGTATCTTCGGATTGTTGGTTCTCATAGGTAGAATTGTCTTCAGTGTCTGGTGGTTTCTTTTAGGACCTGAACATACCTGGTCTTTCTTGTCCAGACCAAGGACAAGAAAGGGATGAGAAGGTTACTCTACATTTAATTTTCTTTTTTTTTTAATGTTTATTTATTTTTGAGACAGAGAGAGACAGAGCATCAACGGGGGAGGGTCAGAGAGAGGGAGACACAGAATCTGAAACAGGCTCCAGGCTCTGAGCTGTCAGCACAGAGCCTGACGCGGGGCTCGAACTCACAGATTGTTAGATCATGACCTGAGCCGAAGTCGGCCGCTTAACCGACTGAGCCACCCAGGCGCCCCTACATTTAATTTTCTATTGCCAATCTTTTTCTTGTTTAAAAAAATTTTTTTAAGTTTATTTATTTTGAGAAAGAGCGAATGGTGAAGGGGCAGAGAGAGGTAGTGAGTATCCCATACAGGTTCCGCACTGTCAGCGCAGAGCCCAATGCGGGGCTTGAACCCACAAAATGTGAGACCATGACCTGAGCTGAAGTCGGACACTTAACTGACTGAGCCACCAGGCGCCCCGGCCAATCTTTTTCTAAGTGCTCATGATGACAATGGGCAAAATAATATTTGAATGGAAAATATCCAAGTTAGGATAAACTAATGGATGTAGTAGTTTATTGATACTATATTTGCTACTTCACATCCCAGAAAGGCCTGGTTTCTGTACTTTATCACAAGGAGCCCAGAAAAAGGTTGTCGCTTGGTGATTATGAATGAATAATTATTTCCCGATTATTGTTTTAAGTCTCCATAGTTCCCTTTTCTTTCAGATACTGTTTCCTTTTCCCTACCTCTTTTCTCCCTCCTTTTCTCTCATAGTGGAAAGATAAAAGGAAAAAAAATGGTTTTTTAAAAAGTGGTGTTGTGTATTGTTTTAAATTAGAACATGATCTATAGTTAGGCAAGAAGATAGCTCCATTTTTTTTTTTTTTTTTTTTTTTTTTCAACGTTTATTTATTTTTGGGACAGAGAGAGACAGAGCATGAACGGGGGAGGGGCAGAGAGAGAGGGAGACACAGAATCGGAAACAGGCTCCAGACTCTGAGCCATCAGCTCAGAGCCCGACGCGGGGCTCGAACTCACGGACCGCGAGATCGTGACCTGGCTGAAGTTGGACGCTTAACCGACTGCGCCACCCAGGCGCCCCAAGATAGCTCCATTTTTATTTCTTTATTTTAATTTAATCCCAAGAGGTAAACCTGGATTTCCTTTCAAGGGAAAACATTCCAAAGCTGTCATGTCTGATACAAGTAGGTAGCTAGTGTTCTTATTTTGTTATGTTGGTTTTTGTTGTTAGATGTTGAGACTTTAGTCTGGACTTTTGCAGAGTAGCTGAGTTTTACTTCTCAGGACACCTGTTAGGTTTTTAGATCTTTCAATGGGACATTCTGATGGGTGGAGGAAGTACCTCAGAAAGGAATGTTTTTCTCTATTAGGAACATTAGGAAAAGAGGGATTTAATAGAAAAACCTTATCTTGGTTTCCTTATTCACTGTGATCTGTCTGTTCTTCTGTCTTCCTGTGGTCTTGTCCCTGGTGATTTTGTACATTTCCTTGAAATTCTATTTCGCTCCTTAGATCTCAACAAAAGATGTAGCTTAGTTGCATTTTCTCCCTCCTTTTTTCTCTTAATACCTAGGGTAGGTTGAACAGGCCCTCTGGTCTATGACCACATGCTCAACCGAACCCTGGATTTATAGTCACTTGATAGGCCACTTTCTCCTCCTCACTCAGATCAGTGACTTCTGTGTGCCAAACAGGTGAATCTTCCCCCTCAGATCAGTGAATTTACTGTGTTCAGCATGTGAAAACAGTACTTGCACTTCCTTAACTATAAATCCCATCGTGTGTTTTATGACTCTGGATATTTGGAGCAGACCTCTGGTGGGTGGATTGGAGACCAGGAGGTATTTCCTGCTTTAAAATGTTTGAGAAGCCTTCTTCCCAGCATAGTGGTGCTGAGTACTCCCAAACCGTTTACCCTGTGGTGTGGAAGGCAGTAGGGGTTGTAGAAGAGGTGTTTTGGGAAATGCCTATCTGCCCCAAAAGCTGAAAGTCTCAAGCTTTTGTTTATACTGTTGTGGTAAAGGGACCATAAAGAGTATCCTTTGAGATGAAGAAAGTTAAATATGAAATGGAGGCTTTTCAGGAAAAAGGCCGATAATCAAGGTAAGGAAGAAAATTAAAAGGCAGCAACAGGAAGCCTTTTGGGATCTGGTCATCTGTCATGTCCTATTTATAGTAGAGGGAGAATAAAAACTCACTACATTATAAAAGCAATTATTTCAAACTCAAAGTAGAGGGAACTATGCCTAAAGGTATATATTTTATGTGGTATTGTTTAAGAATTTTTTTTTTAATGTTTATTTATTTTTGAGAAGAGAGAGAGCCGGGGAGGGATCCGAAGTGGGCTTTGCGCTGACAGCAGAGAGCCCGATGCAGGGCTTGAACTCACGAGCCATGAGATCGTGACCTGAGCCGAAGTTAGACGCTTAACCAACTGAACCACCCAAGCGCCCCTAGTATTTAGAATCTCTATAAATAACTCTGTACGTTTCAAAAAAAAAAAAAAAAGGACAGCTATTTATAAAATCCACATTTGCAGTTTTTTCAGCTTAGATGAAAATTTCATGGATAATGGATGAATTTAGGGAATGAACTAATACTCCACTGGAGAAGTATTTTTCTTAAAATAGATAGAGATTTTTTTTCTTAACTAATTTTAATTTTTAGAAAAGGAAGGGCCCAATTGAATAAACCCATGGATTGTATAGTAGTAGCTTGGTTTTTTCCTCTACTCCATCTAAGGATTCACCATGTTTAGTTATTGTGGAATGATTCTTGGTACAGCAAGAGGATAAATGATTCAGGAATAGAATTGTCAACATATGAGATAGTGTTTTTATATAGTGTGTGTTCATAAATGAATAATTTGCTCTTGTGTTTCTGTTTTGCACCCTCCTGGGATGTTGAACATTGGTGTTTGGAATGAAAACCACCAGGAGTGGTTCCTTTTGCCTTATTCTGCCTTCTTTCCAAAAGTGGAAGAGGGAACAGGAAAGCCTGACTCAGTCCCTATATTATTTAAAACCTCTTAAAAGTTGGAGGCATCATCTGTTGTTTTTTACTCAGAATCCCTTGGCCCCTTTTAATGGTCCCTGATGATTTCTTCTGCATGTTAAAAGTATAATGTTAATAAAGAAATTCACTAGGAACTTTGAATCTGAATGCCTGAGGAATTTGGGCTTCTCAGCAGTGGCTTCTTCTTGGGTCTTCTGTACACATTGTTTGGGATACAAATAATAGGAAGTTTGCATTTTCTTATTAATCCAGCTCTGTTTGCTTTCTTTTTAGTCCCTTTTCCCATTTCAAATTTCTATCCACAGTTCTTTTTAATGTGGATGTATATATATTTTTTCACATTAACAATTAGGATCAGTTGTGTGGTCGGGACCCTACTCTCACTGATGAGCTGCTGAATATCCTCACAGAGCTAACTCAACTCAGTAAGACCACCAATGCCAAAGTGGCACTTCGAGCACGCCAGGTAAGGACATGTGTTGATTATCTTGAAGGAGAAATGGTTTTCATACAATGAGTTTTTTATTCAATCTCCTGACACAGATCATACAATTTTCTATGTACATCTTCTCACGGCCCTCAAAACAAATGTTTTCACGTAGTATGTCTTTTTTTTTTTAATGTTTATTTATTTATTTTTCAGAGAGAGAATTTGTAGTTTTAACAGATTGTCTTTTTTTTTTTTAATGTTTGTTTCTGTTTTTGAGAGAAAGGGGGTGGGCAGAGCATGAGCAGAACGGGCAGAGAGAGGGAGACACAGAATCAGAAGCAGGCTCCAGGCTCTGAGCTGTCAGCACGGAGCCGGATGTGGGGGCTCAAACTCACAAGCTGTGAGATCATGACCTGGGCCAAAGTTGGATGTTTAATGCAAGTGCCCCACGTAGTATGTTTTTTTTAAAGAGAAAGGAAAACATTAATGTTGAGTCTTTAAAATAGAAGTCTTTTCCCCCTGATAAAATTCTCTTACGATTCCCTGACTTTCCTAATCACCTTATGATAGTAAACCAGGGTCATGTGGGGGAAAGGAAACTAAGGGATGGCAATAAACTCAATATTTTTCACTTCCCAAAGGGAGCTTAGAAGCAAGTGAAAACTTTTTTTTTAAGTGTGTAGGAAAAAATTAAGTGTGGAAAGCAGAAAGATAATGCAGTGGATCTTAGGTGCTAGCAATCAGAACAACCCCAGAGAAGTCCAGTTAGTTTCACCCTGTAGTCTTCATTTCCATTCCAAAAGGTTTCAGCAGGGAAGCCAAGAAGTGGCGCTCCCTTTGTGTTTCAGTGCACGGGGCATTGACAAGGAAGCAGCATTTGAAGCTGTTCAGTGACCTCCTGCTTTCTCTACAATTGTATCCATGTCACTGAACTGCTCAAAGTTATTGAACCTCTCAGTGACCTGCTGAGAGTATTCAGGTCCTACCGTGTCCCTGTTTGTTTGTGACACTGCTTTTCACTCTCTCTCTGCCCCTCACATGCGTTGGTGTTACATCCCGATACCTCCTTATTGATATTGAGTACTTGGGGCTGTCAGAGCATCTTTTCCTAGTCTTTGTTTCTACTTCAGAGTTGCAAAAGCCCTGCTCTGTGACATCCACCTTCCCCACAGCTGCTCCCTGCCAGACCTGATTCCCAATTAACAGCTAGTCATGCAGTCCCCAGGACTAGAGGCTTTACAATGGTAAATCACATGCACTGAGGGAACTTGATTGAAGCTGTTTTCTCTGCTTTCCCCCTGCCCCACTGTGGGAAATTGCCCACAACGCAAATCATGGTGAGAGTCAACTGAGATGCAGTATTGGTGGCATTGGATGTATGTTACAGGACCTAGAAGTTGTTTTACTTGGTCTCTGTTTTATCTTTGATGCCTGCACTTACAGATTTATATTTATTGCTTTTGTATCAGAGCTGCCTAATAGGAGGCTAGAATAATCACTCCCTCAGGAACTTATGCCTCTTATTTTGCTCTCACTCTAGGTTCTTATTGCCTCCCATTTGCCATCATATGAGCTTCGCCATAACCAAGTAGAGTCTATCTTCCTTTCAGCTATTGACATGTATGGACATCAGTTTTGCATTGAGAACCTGCAGGTATACATAAAGCCCTTTTCTACCACTGTGCATTCTTGTCCACTTTATTCCTAAGCCTGGTTCAATTAATCAATCTGAAATGAAGTTTCATGCCTTGACTTTATAAAATGATTTATACTTAATGTTGTTTTTTTCATAAAAATGCTTTTATAATTGTGATTTAGCTTAAAAATGAAGTCTCTACCTCTTGTACTTTTTATCTAGAAAGTATTCTAGGCTAGAATTAAGTGGTAGCACTAGTTGATGTCTGGTATTTGAATCAGATGTATAAACAGGTAGTTGTTAGTCTTCTAGAGACAAAGCCACTTAAGTCATTTAAGTTTTATCTTATTATAATGCTTACTATTAAGCTTTATACAGAACCAGTTTTATAAAGAGTGTTGGCTAATTTTACTACTAATTGAAAGGACCTTGACTATTACTTTTTAGACAGAACCATTTTCTCAGGAATGACTTTGTTTTTCTACCTGTAAATAAGAGTAATATTGTTCTATCTAGCCAAGGGAATCTTCAGGCTTTCTGTCAGATTTCCTTCCGGGGAAGCTAGAAAAGGGGAAAGGATATTTTTGTTTATTTGGTTAATAGTTGAAATATAGGGTTTCAACTGGGGTCCAAATCTGTGGCTTACCATAGCGGAGGATTGAGACAGTATTTAAGAAGTTGAGTACAGATATATGTCAGGAAGGCTGTTAATTATGGTCTTTAGCACTAATATTAGCATATGATGCATCACTATATTATTCTAAGAATTTTACATATTTTCATTTTTCTAATGCTCGCAACAGACCCATGAGGACAGGTGTCATTCCCCCCCTCCCCCCCCCCCCCCCCCCCCCCCATTTTGTAGCTGAGGAAGCTGGGGCACAAAGAAGGTGAGTTTATACAGGACATTCCTAGACAGAATTCTTAGGTTACTCTATCTGCTTCAAAATGCTAAATATTGTCCACTGAAATTGTTCCCTTTTGGATGTAATGGCTTAAGCTTGTCTCTGTACCTTCCAGAAACTCATCTTGTCTGAAACATCTATTTTTGATGTCCTACCAAACTTCTTCTATCACAGCAACCAGGTAGTGAGGATGGCAGCTCTGGAGGTAAGTTTTCAAAGTATTGTGATATCACCTTTTTCTTGGTTTCTAGCTGATCTCTTCTGTCCACTTGGCTAATGTATCAGTCCTTTTTCTTTGGGCTTAAGGTTGGTGCTAAAGAGTAGAGTCTTCTTTTCCTTTGAAACAAATGCTTGCTTTACTCAGGTGTTTTCAGCTGAACTAATCACCACTTGTCCAATCATAGGAAAATAGCTGCCAGCATTTTTCAGTAGTCTCTACTTTCCAAGTATTTGAATTCTCTCATTTCAGAATAAATTAGGATTCCATATAAAACAATAAATGAAAAAATATATGGCTGACCAGAACATGTACCATTTTGTGATTTGGGCCAAATAAAATGGATTTTTAGTTATATTCTGAATTTTTAAGCAACTCTATTGAAATATTTTGTCATGAGAAAGAAAGTAATAACATATAACGAACTGTGTTTTAGTTGCTTTACTGCTTTTCTCATTTAACCCTACAATTACTTCATGAAGCAAAAGGAAAGTGAGACTCCTGAGAGGTTGACTATGACTGGTCCACATTTATGTAGATAATAATTGGAAGGGTTTGCATTTGAACCCAGGTCAATCTGGCTCAAAGACTTTTCTGTTTCCAGCACACTACCTCATTAAGTACAAAAATTGCAGGCCCTGAATAATGGCTATAAATTGCCAGGTAGATGTTTTTTGAAGATGGAAGAAGAGTGTTCTAGATGATTTTATGTAATATGACATCACTGCAGTCTGTTGCAAGCTCCTTTGGCTTACTTTTTATTTGTAGTCTGTGGATGGAATGGAATGTATCCTACTCAGTAAATACCAAATTTTAAAAATATCTAAGTATCTTAGAGTGCTTCCGTGTCATTTAATGAGAAATCTCCTTATATACCTCACATGATAATAGAATCGCATGTAGCATTTTATGTGCATGGCAAATTGGCTGTGAAGTGCACAAGGTCACACTTACGGTTTTTGCTGTGATGTAACCTGTTGCTATTTCTTTAACTCTTGAGTCAGGTTAGTGTGTTTGAGATGTTATGTCAAATTATGCCTTACTGCTTTTGCCTAGGGTTTGGCGGGTTATAAATAATCTAAAATAATTTGGAGTAGTGGGACAACAAAACGAAGAGATATAAGATAGTAAATGAGTTGAACTGTACAACAATTGTTTCTGTCTTCTGCCTTCACTCCTCAGGTGGCTCAGATCAGTACCTCTCATTTTTCTCACTGCTTGATTTTACCTTCTACTGAAGTAATGCTTTCTTTTACTAATGATCAAACCTTCTCCCTAAGTTTGGGTTCACGTGAAAGGTTTATGGCCCAGCCAGAGGTGTCCAGCAGAGGCAGGTTAATTTTATTTTCTTTTTTTTTTTTTTTTTAATTTTTTTTTTTTCAACGTTTATTTATTTTTGGGACAGAGAGAGACAGAGCTTGAACGGGGGAGGGGCAGAGAGAGAGGGAGACACAGAATCAGAAACGGGCTCCAGGCTCCGAGCCATCAGCCCAGAGCCTGACGCGGGGCTCGAACTCCCGGACCGCGAGATCGGGACCTGGCTGAAGTCGGACGCTTAACCGACTGCGCCACCCAGGCGCCCCAGTTTTATTTTCATTTATAGTCATGGGTGTAGTTTTAAGACTGCAACTTAAAAAAATTTTTTTTTTTTTAATGTTTATTCATTTTTGAGAGAGAGAGAGAGAGAGAGAGAGACAGATTGCAAGCGGGGCAGGAGCAGAGAGAGACGGAAACACAGAATCCGAAGCAGGCTCCAGGCTCTGAGTGGTCAGCACAGAGCCTGATGCGGGGCTCGAACCCACGAGCTGTGAGATCATGATGTGAGCCAAAGTCGGACGCTCAACCAACTGAGCCACCCAGGTGCCCTAAGACTGCAGCTTTATTAATTAAAGCAAGTTATTTATGTACAGAGCCTCCTTCTACATTGCATCCCTCTTCTCAAGACTATCTTTTTCCTGGCTAACCATCTTTTAGTTTCTGTTTTTGAAGGAGTGTATTTATTGAGGGTTACTTTTTAACCAGGTTTATGTTCGAAGGGCTTACATTGCCTATGAACTTAACAGCGTCCAACATCGCCAGCTTAAGGACAATACCTGCGTGGTGGAATTCCAGTTCATGCTGCCCACATCGCATCCAAACAGGTGAGTTTGAGCTGGGATGTGCATCTGAGCCAGCCAGATCTATCATGAGAGTTGAGAGTAATCTATGTGACAGTTCCATGGGTTTTTGGTTTTGGCTAGAAATATAGAGCAGAGAATGAACAAATTTATTTATTCATTCATTTTTAGTGAGAGAGTGCATGCACATGTGTGCAAGCAGGGAAGGAGCAGAGAGGGAGAGAGAGAATCCCAGGCAGGCTCTGTGCTGTTAGCGTGAAGTCCCACATGGGGCTTGATCCCACAAACCGTGAGATCATGACCTGAGCCAAAATCAAGAGTCAGATGCCTAATGGACTGAGCCACCTAGGCGCCCCAAAAATGAATAGATTTAAATTGTGAGAGAAGAGCCTCTTGGTACCCACTTTTTTTTTCTTATTTTTGACCTGGAGAGATGAAATATAATCTAAGTAAGATAAAAATTTTAAGATTACTCCATCATTCATGTTTGCTTGTATTATGTCACTGAGGAAACATAGTTCTTTTCTTTCTTTTTTTTAAGTGATAATTTACTGGCATTTTACTTACTGGAACTTTGCCAGAAAATCGCTTTTTTAGCAGTTTAAGTCAAGCAGTTGGAACGTGAAAATATCTTGGGTGGAATGTTTTTCCTTTCTATTTATTTGCTATACATTAAGGCTATACCTGAGCCAATTTTGCTCTCTCCCTAAAAACAGACATCTGAATTTAGCAGCTGAAAATCAAATCAGTTTTTAAAAATCACACTTCAGGTGCAAACTGAAATTTGAATAAACTGTTTAATTAAACCAGGCTAATTCCATTATTTTTTCTTTCCTAAGTCCTTTAAGAAATAAAATGTGCACATGGAAATTTGTTGCAGTTTTGCTTTCGTTTTAAAATAAAAATATGTTGTATACTGATTTATTTTTAAAGTATTCTGATGCAGTGAAAACCTACCTACTCCCACCCACAGATATGTTCATCCCCTCCTGTATTTTCATTCATTTTAGTAATACCACAGGAAATATAAATACCACAGCTAATCTTAAGCTGCCCCCCTCCATTTCTTCTTTATGGCCTTTGGTTCTTCACTTTGTATTACAAAGTACTGTGTCTTTGGGGATCCTTAGTTATAGACAACAGAAATGGTTTTGTTTCTGAATTGCCACTTCACCCAAAGCAATAGAAACCCTTCCTAGAGACAAAGAAGTCTGTGCTGAGACTTTTGGCCACTGGATGCCACTGTTGATCCAGCAGAGGTCAGCAGATGAGCGGACACATCTTCAGAAAAAGTACTTCTCTTCTTTGTCTCAGAAGATCCTTTCACATCTCTACCTCAAAAATACCTTATGGCTGGCAGAGAAAAGCATATATCCTTGATTTAGCAGGCATCTCTCGGTACATTTTTGCCTCCATGGATTTCAGAATCTCATTTTCTAGAAACGAATGGTTGTCCTTCAGTGAGCGGCGAGGTACTCACAGCACACATGGGCTCAGCACTCGGTCTTCTTTCTTCTCCCGCATTCCTTGAATAATTGTAGAGAACTACATGCTATACTTAATGCTCTTTGTAATTCTCAGGACATTCTCCTTTTCTTCCTGCTTTCTACTGCCTCTTCCCTGTGGGCAGTGATTTGTAGTCAGGCTGCAGAGCTGCTTCGGATTTCCTTCCCTCCTCATTGCTCCCCTTGTCTTTTTGAATTGCTCTCCCTGTCCTACTTTGTTATTTGAGGATACGTGTCCAGTTTCGTGAAGGAAAGTAGACTGGAAAATGAGAGAAATGCTTCTTAACTGCTAAGAAATCTTATTCACCTTTCCATCTCAAGGGTATGAGTCTTGGTTATTCCTGTTATGGCTTCAAAACATGGTTATTTGCCCCTCCCGACATCTAAGGTTTACACATCCCAATAGCCAAAGACCAGACTTGAACAGAACTGTGATCCTGTTTTCTGTCTCAAATCTTCTTTGGTTATGTGTATATAAAATTATAAACTGTTGGGTTAGTAGCAGCAGCAGCAGCAGTGATGGAAAGGTGCAGGTAAGGACAAGTAAAGGAGGAAAGGTAAAAATAATCTTTGTGAAAACCAGAAAAATGTTAACATTGCTCCAATGCCTTGTTAGATGTAAAGTCCTTTTGTTAGTTTCGGAGTATAAAATGTGCCATCAGATTTAATCACAGAACGATATACTCAATTTTAGAGTACAGCCTTTTCACATATCATAGATTTGCTACTTGAATTTAGTTTTATAAGGTTTTATATTTTCTTACAAATGTTTTTATTACAGTTTGAAGGTATGACCTTATTCTGACACCAACTGGTGTACTGACATTGAATTCTGACACTAACCACCTTGTGTTAGGTCACATAATACAAGTTAAGGGCTTGGTCCTTTACAAAACTGTCCCTGCTTTAGATGGGGCCACAAGTGGGGCACCCGGCCACCTGCACTTCTGACCAATTGGCTACAAATTTGGGGTTCCCACCATCCTGTCCAGTTTAATAATTCACTAGAACAACTTACAAAAATCAGAAAGCACTATACTTATGAATACAGTTTTATTATAAAGGACACCGATCAGGACCAGCCAGATGAGTAAAGTCTGGGTGTGTCCTGAATACAGAGCTTTCCCATTCTTTCCCTTTGGAATCAGGTACTCATCCTCCTAGCATTATCAGTGTGTTCACCAACCACAAAGTTCCATTGAGCTTCAGTGTCCTGAGTTTTTATCAGGATTTCATTACAGTGGCATGATTGATCAAATCACAGACCACAGTTAAACTCCATCTCTAACCTCTTTCCCCTCCCCAGAAGTCCAGCTGCCTTAAAGCCTCCAACCCTCTAATCATAAGGTTGGTCTTTCTAGTGAGCAACCCCTATCTTGAGTTATCACATCTCTTAGCATAAACTCAGATGTAATCCAAGGGGCTCGTGAATAATGAAGATACTTCTGTTTCTTTTGAGAAATTCCAAGGACTTAGAATTTCTCTCCCAGGAACCAGGGACAAAGGCTTGTCAAATTCTTTATTACATAATAGGCCTATTCATCTCATAAAAGAATTCCCGGGTCTCTTAATTTTAACTAGTTTTGAGGCAAGTTCCAACTTTTTTTTCCAGCTTTAGTACTATTATTCTTTCCTATTCTTATTGTTTTCAACAAGCAGGCAATGAGCATATTGGTTCTTATTCCACAGAAATAAGTTACAGGAGACAGTCTACCAGTGTTACTTCTACTCCCAAGCTTGTAAAGCTCAAGGACACAATGTCCCGTAACCTCTAAATTAATGAGTCTCAGAATTATTTATTTATTTTTTTAATGTTTATTATTTATTTTTGAGAGAGAGAGAGGGAGAGAGACAAACAGGGGAGGGGAAGAGAGAGAGAGGGAGACACAGAATCTGAAGCAGGCTCCAGGCTCTGAGCTGTCAGCCCAGAGCCTGATGCCAGGCTTGAACCCACAAACTGTGAGATCATGACCTGAGCCAAAGTTGGGCACTCAACCGACTGAGCCACCCAGGCGCCCCAGGAAATATTTTTGAAATACTGACGACCAAGATTCTGCTTTATTTTGAACCAGGCTCCAGGGGACCACTTTTTGAAAAAGCTCCTACGATAATTCTGATGAGCACCTGCAGTTAAGAATCACTGCTACTTAGACCAGCACTGTCCAGTAGAAATACAATGCAAGCCACATATGTAAGTTTTTTTGTTGGCCACATTTAAAAGGGCAATAAGAAACAGATAAAATTACCTTGCACAATTTCTTTACCCCATCATATCCAAAATACCATTTCAATATGTAATAAAAAATTATTCATGAGATATTTTTCATTTTTCATACTCGGTCTTTGAAATTTAGAATGTGTTTTACATTTACAGCATGTCTCAATACAGATTAGCCCTATTTCAAACACTTCCTAGCCACATGGGCAGCTCAGCTCTAGACTAAAAATTAATTAGGACAGTCACACTGAGCCCTCTTTGTTTTATGTTAATGGTAGTACCCCTGGGATGGATTAAAAAAAAAAAACCCAAATACCTCTAATTCTTAGGTTTCTTGTTCTTACTAGTTATAGAAATTATCCACATCTGATAGTGTAGATAGATATTCTACAATATTAAAAAAAATTTTTTTAACGTTTATTCATTTTTGAGAGAGACAGAGTGTGAACGGGGGGACGGGCAGAGAGAGAGGGAGACACAGAATCCAAAGCAGAATCCAGGCTCTGGGCTGTCAGCACAGAGCCCAACATGGGGCTCGAACTCACGAACCTTGAGATCATGACCTGAGCCAAAGCTGGACGCTCAACCGGCTGAGCCACCCAGGCGCCCCTACTACAATATTTTATGCATACTTTAAAAATTACTCAATGAGGGGCACCTTGGGTGGCTCAGTCAGTTAAACACCCGACTCTTGATTTCAGCTCATGTCATGATCTCACCATTGTGAGATCGAGCCCCGTGTCGAGTCTCCATGGTGAAAATGGAACCTGCTTAAGATTCTCTCTCTGCCCCTCCCCTGCTTGCTTGCTCTCTCCCTAAAATAAATAAATAAATAAACATGTAAAGAAATAGTTTTTAAAAATTATTCAATGAGGACAGAGAACAGGCATATGAATATACATATTTTACTTATCAATGTAAAACAGAATTTACAATATTTTTACCACCTGGGGTTAACAAACCAAAAATTCTTGGGGGAGAAAACAGATATATTCTTAAACCAGTTTTTGCATTTTCTTTCCTGGTGCTTGTTTTTCACATTCCTAGCTAGGCATTCATTTGAAGTAGATTAACTTTGTCCAGCAATCCTTAGAAGTGAGTATCTTCCTAAGCTATGTTATCAAAGCAAGACCACAGTCTCTTGTTGCATATGGGGTCACCTGGTGAAATTCCATTCTTGCAGTTTATTTTTGACTAGTGATTTAGCCCTCATGAGTTGGGATGAAAGAAACATGGCTGTCTGCAAACTGACAGAAGCAAAGTATTTTTTCTCAAAAACACCTTAGATACTGTTTGAATTG